TTGACTGTCTTCACCAGTTAGCACGCTGCCAACCACACCACAGGCAAAACTGGAGATAGCATATCTGTTTGTGCCAATTTTCCCTGTTAGTGAATGTTTCCATGATATATACACTGTATACTCTTGTTGCATAGATGATGACATAATAGCTCAAAGACATTGTGTTCAGTGATGTTTGCACTCGTAAGCAACCCAGCCACCTCATGCTGATAGTGGCACAAAACATCTGAGTTTTTGATTGTAAAGAAATAAATTTTCCACAATCACAGCCTTTTCATCCTTTCCACCCAAGTTTTGTTGCTGACTTTTAACTTGAGCAAAAACAGAAACCAGGTACTGTAAAGTGAAACGGTGATCTGCTGAACATGCATTTGTTTTGCAAGGTGAGGAAATGAGTTGGAAAATAAAGGTCTCTCATTTATTTAAAACATTGTACAGGCACTGGTCAGAGACACACAGAGACCTCTGAAAAATAACAGTGTCAGCTGTTCACCAAGTCGCTGTTATTGATGAATACAATCGGTGCAGCACTATCAGTGTTCTTGTCCCAGAAAGCTCATAAACAGACTGCTTCTCTCTCTCTTTATCTCTCTCTCTCTCTCTCTCTGTCTCTATGTCACTCCAAAGGTATTGTCAGTTCTGACATTATTCACATTACTCACTTAAACCTACCATGTTTGTCACTGTATAAACCAGTGGTGAATTGTGACAGTCTATAAATGTCAGTGCAGCAGCACTCGTAGCTATTAAATGCTGGAAACCTAGACCAGCCATATACAGAGTTTTTTTGCCTTCATAAGGAAGGGATTAATCATCTTGAGCCAAGCTGTTAATGGTAAAGTTTACCTCAATGTGATGGAAGCAGCTAGTCACGAATCATAAATGGCCATTGCCTGAAGCTTTTCTCATCTCACTGTGGCAGTTTCCATTTATGATATTCCACTCTGCAGTATTTAAAATTCATCTGTCTAAAATTCGAGTATTTATATACATTTATTGGTTAATTAGACTTGTTTGACTAATGTGTTCAATGAAGTGCTTCATAATCAGTGAGAAACAAATTGCAGTTTTTATGACTGCAATTTGTTCCTCAATGCAGGCAAAGCAGGCCTACTTGTTGTTCCCAGAGTATTTAAAAGTAGAATGGGAGGGAGAGCCTTCAGTTTTCAGGCCCCTCTTCTGTGGAACCAGCTTCCAGTTTGGATTCGGGAGACAGACACTATCTCTACTTTTAAGATTAGGCTTAAAACTTTCCTTTTTGCTAAAGCATATAGTTAGGGCTGGACCAGGTGACCCTGAATCCTCCCTTAGTTATGCTGCAAAAGACGTAGGCTGCCGGGGGATTCCCATGATGCATTGAGATTTTCCTTTCCAGTCACCTTTCTCACTCACTATGTATTAGCCTGGTTCTGCCGGAGGTTTCTTCCTGTTTAAGGGAGTTTGACAGCTGACAGTTCTTGAATAACTGAACATATTGTTCATGAAACACTTGAGCTGCAGGTGTTACATGAACTTTAAGGGCCATTGTCGAGGAGTTTCCTTTTTATTACATCTTGTTGTCTTCAACCTTCAGTCGGACCCTGTGTGAGGTTACTCCTGTTCACTGCTGTTTCTATATAACTGCTCAGATGTACTGACATTTGTTCACTTGGCTCCACAAACCATGTTCAGGAAAATATCCCCCCTTAATTGCAACACTATCATGCATTCAGTTATATTTAGAGACAATATCTACACTAAAAGTAGCACTCCACTCTTATCAGTACTACAACAAGAACTAAGTTTAGCTACAATTGCTATAACCACTACTACTTGCCTTTTCCTATCAATGATGATGGTACTCCTTCTGTAGGAGGAAAGTGGGTTAATACTAGAGCTACTACCAGTACAAGTACAATTATACTTTATTAGTTTAACAAATTGTTGCAATAATTTTTCACAGGACTCTATAGGGTCTGTAGAGCTAATCAAATGTGCTTGATTAACTGATCAAGGTCAGATGGTGCAATGCTTAATGGTCAAACTGCAAAAAACCCAAGAGCTACACCTCAAACCTTACAGGTCATGTTAACGTTCATAATATTACAAATTAACAAATATTAAACAAATACATCTTGTTTAAATGTATTACCAATCTGCAGTTTGCAAAGGTTCTGGAAGAATATCTTTTGGATCAAAGTGGACAGGTTTGGACATAATGCACAGCTGCAAAAATAATAGCATATTAGCGTATCACCACCAGCATCTGTCAGTAGAGTGGCGAAAAGGTGAAGATTGGGGCAAGATCTGTAGCCATACTACATAGGAATCATAGCCCCTTGTGGTCATTGAGTCAACCATGAAGTATTGCAGAAAATCAAATCTGAGACCATCTGTCCAACAGCTAATGTTTAGTTAGGACAACAATCCTAAGAAGACCAGCAAATCTACAACAGAATGCTGTGTCTGGACCTTAAAAGAGCCGTGCATAAATGAACGCCCACTAACTTCAGAATTCAGTGGTGTGAGAGACTGCTAAAGTCATGAAGAAAATTATTACTTCTAATCATTGGTGCTAAAGGTGGTTTTACAAGCTTTAGACTCATAAGCTGTTATTAATTATTCACAGGATTAGACTCCTATGAGACTGCACACTTATACAAGCTGAACCTGTGTACACTGCAAACAATCCAAGCCAGTCTTATTGTCACTGTTATTAAGCTTGTCCCTGTACTGTGACCAAGCTATATCATTGCCTACCAACTGTTACCTTTTTGAACTGTAGCACAGTTACTGTAGAGCCTTCTGGTGCTTTTTGTTAGTCAGTCTAATACAGATGCAGACATTTCAGAGATGTTGTTTTTCTACTTCAAGCTAAAATTTTGTTATAATTCATAGATTATATTAAATTAAAGTAAAAATGCAATATTTTTTTCCAAATCTCACTCCTGGCTGGCAATGAGGATAATGAGACCTGTTGTACAAAGTTGTCCTATGTGCCATTGGGTCGTTTTAACATCATTCATTTTGGATTCAGAATAATCAAGCTGAGTGAAACTCTACTTTCTGTCAGTGTGTAACCACATGAGAAGTCTTTAAATAATATAAAGAAGTGCAATTTTAACAGTAGATCTCAGTTTATGTTTGACACCCCTGCCTTACAGAAAAGGAACTGTGCAAATCAATGCAAAGTGGTTCTGAGTAATAACATTTGCAAACACATCTATACTGATGGGAGTGGTCTTTTCCAGGACAATAATGCCCTCATCCATAGGGAATGAGGGCTCACTGAAATTTGATTTGGAGAAATCAATTCCAGAAACTGTACTTGTAGTGGACCTTTGCTGATACTTTCCCACATCCCTTAATTTGAATGCGCCCTATCATTTCCAAATTTATATGTTTATGCTGTTTTGTATGATTTACTGTAGCCCCTCAGTTCATCCTCTGTTTGAAACAAGCTGTTATAGCTACTCATCATTTGAAATGTCTGCCACATGTATAAGTAATAAGTAATAAGTAAAAGTATATCAGTGATTTTTCTTTGATTTGTGATCTGTCCATTTTGCGTTGTTTACCACACTTTAATGAAATATTAGAAAACCTTAGCTGAAAAATTACTAATGGACTAGAATATTCAATACTTTAAAAGAATATATTATTGTTATTAACAAAACAAAGCTTCTCCCATATCCCACATGTTACACAGTCACAGTTGCTTCTCAGATATTTCATTATTTTTCAGATTTGTTCCCTTCCTTTACAAATAACGACTTTTGACCTTTGAATAATTTAGTTTAATTTGCATTCATTTGTGCAACTCTGGTTTTGATCATATGATTTTAAACCTCTTTTTGTTACTAAAGCTCAAAAGTAAACTTAACTTGAAAAAGAGGGTGCATTAAAACGCAGTTTATTCCTAAAGACATGCAGCACACCAGTGTCTTAAGCAGCAGAATGAAGAAAACCCTCCAGCTCATGGAGAGCTGCCGTTCTGTCATGTGGCAATTGGACAGTCATTAAAATTATGCTGAAACATATGCCTTTATTACTTCTTTAACTGTTGCTACAACTTTTACAAATGCCTTGAGCTTATCTCCAACATGTGCTTTTACCTCTTATCATTAAGTGTCGATGACTTTATTCAGCAGTTCCTCTGAACTGCGCACACGGGCGCATGTTCCAGTGACCCACCATTGATCCCACAAAGGCAAGCCTTCGCCTGACAGCCAATAAAAGGAGGCCAGCCAAGGAGCCCCCGTCACACGTAGTTCTGGCAACACTGAACCCTGAACTTACATCATCGAGTAAAGTAGACCAAAGTTCAACTGCTGCAATCGTCACAGGAGGTTACCACACTGGCAGCGGCAGCCTGAATCAGAGACTATATCAATTGGATTTGCTTTGCTGCTTCAGGGCAAAAGTTTATTTTACACTACAAAATGCTGAAAACTATGTGAGCATATATTACTGTTTATTTCAGAATTTTAAGATTGAAATCTTGTGCTATTGTCTCAGCCTTCTTTTTGATTGGATGGTAAGAGACTAACTGTTATCAAAAAAAGCATTTGTCCAGGCGGTCTCCCCTTGAGTTTTCCCTCCAAAAACATGTGTTACTCAGAAAGAGAGACAGAGGGAGAGACAGCCACCGCAGTGAAAGCATAGCTACCTGCCTCTCTTTCATATCTGAGCCAGCTATCAGCGATCAGCGGCAGAGGGAACCGGTTATTCAAAGACGACATTACGTGCTGCTGCTGAGTAATGATTCACCAGCAGCCTGTTGCACACTGTGTTTTTCACATCTGCAGGGAACAACAGGTTCACCCAACTAACGCAAGGGCCAACCCCACCACCCCTCCTCCCTGACACACCTCCTCACCCTCTCCCTCCCCCATTCTAACCCCCCACCCCTCCCTCACCCACACCCCTCCCCACTCCCTCCCTTGTCTTGCGAGACGTCCCAGGGTATAAAAAGGACAAAGCTCTCCATAGGAGATACAACTGACCAAGAAGGAGAAACAGTCCTCAACTCTCCTGCAAACAGGCAACAGGGACACCTCAGCAGATGAGACCAAGCTAAAGGCTCTGCACTCCAGGCAAACTACTGAAGGTAACCTACTGCTCTTTCTTTTCAGTGGGGCTCATGTTTAAAGTGAGGAGGGTAAAATAATATGAGGCAAAGTAATGTGAGGATCACTGCAGAATGAGAGGTATCTGCACAAGGATGCTGTTGCATCACCCAGAGTTTGATTTCTTGATGTTGCAGCAGCAGAGCACTTTTTTTTTTGAGAATATGTACTGTATGCACAAAACTGACTTTTTAAAAAAAAAAATTCCCCCATGTCTCTCTTTTATCCCAAATTTTACTCCACCTTGACCATTTTTCTGCTTCATTCTTTTTTTTTTCATTCTTCTTGGTCTGTCCTCATTTTTGTCTTTATTTCCGAAACTTTATCCTCCTTTTATATTTTTCCTCTTCCTTGTCACCATATTATTCACCCATATTATTCAATTCCAACATTCTTCTACCATCTTCCTTTTTCCCCTTTCCTTTTCACACCCCCACTTAAATCTTTCTTTCCAGACTTCCTGTCACCTTTTCCCCTCAGTCTATCAGCTCACGCTCTCTCCAGAACCTTCACCATGCCTCCTCAGATCCCGTCCCAGAACCAGAGTGGTCCCAGGATCCTGCAGGGTGATCTCAGTGCCCTCAGTCCAGCTGTAAGGGAGTTTTTGGAGACCAATATGACCCTGTGCCAGCCAGAGTCCATTCACATCTGTGATGGCTCAGACGAGGAGAACCTTGCCATCCTGACCCAGCTGGAGGAACAGGGGATGATCAAGAAGCTCACCAAATATGAGAACTGGTATGTTTGTTACACTCAGTGGTTTATGGAAGGCTTTCTTTTTTTAAGAGACTTATTTAGTTATTTAGTTAGTTATTTTTTTATGTGAGTGAGGGTTTCAAATTGAAAAACAGGAGAAATTATTGCTAACGATAGCTTTAAATTTCTTGAATATAGCTTGGGTTGTTTTTGTAGCTGGGACAGTGGTGCTTTGGTGCAGCTGGGAGATGCCCAGGGTTGTTGCTGTTGATAATTACAACACACATCATTCTGTCATCAGCAGCTGTTTAAATATAAAACATGCCTGGAAAATTTCTACTTCTTGACAAACCAGTATGTCTAGGTAGCTCAATCACACCATTCATTTTTACCAGCTGATATCAAGAAGACATATTGATTATTATTATATTGATTTGTGGCTGCTTTAGGAGATTTTAAAATCGTTGCCTACTTTAAAATAAAGTACAACAAATTAAAATTTAAAACAAAAGTCCTAAAGTTTTCAATATTTGTGCACTTCCTTTTCTTCTTCCTCTTCCTGCAGCTGGTTGGCCAGAACTGACCCGAGGGATGTGGCTCGTGTGGAGAGTAAGACAGTTATTGTTACCCAGGAACAGAAGGACACAGTGCCCACTCCACTAGGAGGTGGAATCAGCCAGCTGGGCCGCTGGATGCCCCCAGAAGAGTTCGACAAAGCCATGGCTCAGCGGTTCCCCGGCTGCATGAGAGGTACCAGAGACGAACGTGTTTCATAAATGCTATCAGTTCTTAACTCAAATATAGGACTAGAAAAACTTGAGAAATCAAAAGTTTTCACTCATCAATAGTACACTGACTAAATGAATACATTTTTTCCCCTTTCCGGGACCCCATTGAGAATCTAGACAAGTATATCCACAGTGCAGCAGGTACTTTTTAGAAAGAAGAAACACTATCAGAGATTATTTTTACAAGTTACACTGCCTTTAAAGTGTTTAAATGAGCTGGAGGCAAATTTTCTTCTTTTCCTGACTGTCTGAATGTCTCAAATACCAAAAACCTTAAAATAATATTGAAATAACATAATAATAAGAACATCCCTGTCTGTATCTATCCTCAGGTAGGACCATGTACGTGATTCCCTTCAGCATGGGTCCAGTAGGTTCCCCTCTCTCTAAGATTGGAGTACAGCTGACAGACTCTCCCTACGTGGTGGCCAGTATGAGGGTGATGACTCGTATGGGGAAAGCTGTTCTGACCGCCCTGGGGACTGGAGAATTTGTCCGCTGTCTGCACTCTGTCGGCTGTCCTCTGCCACTCAAAAGTATGTCAAAAACTGATCGACTCATTCTCTTGCAGCTATACGGGGGGGGG